TCCATACTTACCTTTTTAACAAAAGTTTTATCATTAGAAGTGACCATAGTGCCTTGCAGTGGCTGATGAATTTTAAAAAACCTGAGGGACAAGTTGCTAGATGGACAGAAAGACTGCAACAATACAACTTTGAGATAGTGCATCGAAGGGGAGGTCTTCATAGGAACGCAGATATTCTCTCCAGGCGACCCTGTTTAGAACGACAATGCCGGTACTGTAAAAGGCTCAAAGAACGGGAAAAGCTGGTTCAAGAAGTTGGTCTACAGGCGACCACTATCAAGCCAGAAGATGACGAAGACGGAATCACCCTTGAAAGCCTAAGATGGACTCAAAAGAAAGACAATGACTTGAAGGTTGTCCGAGAATGGCTCAAAAATGGAGTCACCTACATGGTAAGAGATAGCCAAATATAGTGGAACCCTTAAAGGGTACTGGACTCAGTGGGATTCCCTGTATCTTCACGATTGCCTATTGCACCGGAAGTGGGAGAGCCCTGCTGGAGTACATGTAGTTCGCAAAGTGATTTTGCCGAAATCACAGGTTACAAAATGCATTGGAGAAGCTTCATAGCAGTCGTTTAGGATGACACTTTGGTACTAAAATAGTCCAAGAGCCTGCTTCGGCTAGGCGCACATCATTTCATAAAACTCTCAAGTTTATCTGCGCACGTCACCAACACAGGTAAGAACGATGAGCGACTTTGTAGTTTAGGTAGTGGTTACTTTGACAGGTAACAGGTAACAAAGGTGTAAAAAAACAGCACCTTAAGTACATTAAGATATAAAGCTCGGTTTTTTTACATTTTCTTCAGAATAATATTTAAAATGACGTCATCCATTGCCGGACACTTAGTATAGTTTCAACCCCCTGCCGGACACCCCCAAACTCTGAAAAATTGTGATTACACTTACATTGTAGTATAAAAGCTGAATTTTATATATGTTTCTTGGGGAGCTATTAAAAGAAGTTACCCCAGTAGCCGGACAGTTTTCATGGTTTTTTACATCTTGCCAGAGGCCTTGAGAGTCCGCGTCGGTGCGAGCGCGAGGCAATATATATTCAGGCGGGTTTGAGTGAGATGGTGAGTTTGCTCTATTGCGTTCTTTTACTGCTTATTTTTTACTTACTCAATATCATATCTTAAACTATTTTTTATACTTAACAAAAAATAAAAATACAAACTTAACAAAATAATTCCATAAAATTATTTATGACTCAAAAATACATGTAAAAAAAATTATCTAATAAAATTTTCATGGCTAAAAATAAAAAACAAATCTAAAAAATTAATCCATAAATTTTTAGAGTTTTGTTAATATTTTTGAGAAATTCAAGTTTTGACTATGTGAGGTAATAATATTGTTTATCGTATGAAATCCAATGAACAAATATTTTTATTATATTCATAGCCATATTATAGAAAGTACATCAGGTAATTCCAAAGCATGAATAATCATCCATATATTGTCAATTATAGTGTGTAATTGCGAATCTGTAGAGTATGTAATTTCTATATCATCAGCCTTTAATTGTAGTTCACCTGTCATTTTTGGTTTCTTTGGATACGGAATCTCTTCAGTAGATATGGCTTCAAAAGTTCTTCTTTTCCTTTTTTTTTGTTGTGAGTTATTACCATGATTTAGAATCGACGCTTCAGACATCTCAGATTCTTCGGATATTTCAGGTTCTTCGGCTGTATTTGACTCAATATTTTGGTAAATAATTCCCACTGTATCATGTAAAGTATCCTTTCCGCTCGTAGTCTCCACAAAACGGTCAAAATTGTCATATGCCACACCAGTAAAAAGTTCAGGTTTCTTTTTAATTTTTTCTGGGCATAAGCTAGACTTTTCAATAGAAGTAAACGTTGTTTCCGTTTCTAGTTCCTCAACTCCTTGATAACTTATACAGTGCCCGTATCTATTAACGATATCAATAACTTTTCTACTGCTTGTCAAGCTCTTTAAAGTCATGCCTAACATTATATGCTTTGACGTTTTCAATTGACCATTATGAACTCCAAAAATCACATCTTGACAATAAGAACGAACTTGGCGATTACATTTTAAGCTGTTTTTTCGTTTTTGATTGGCCCCAGCAAAAAGAGTAGAGTAAAAGTCCAGTAATTGTTGCGGTATCGAAGCTTCTCCTGATATTAAATCCTGCGCTGTAATATTTTTAGCCGGTAACTTTTTTTTTCTATTTGCCATATTGTTTTTCTTAAAGTCAATGCCGCTTTTTGTAAAATATTTTCGGTTTGTAAATTTTCCAACATTGTATCATCTATCACGTGTAAAAATTTCGGTCCTATTAATTTTTTGTTATGAACCATCAAAGATTTAATATCATTAGAAAATTTTTTTAACATTTTTTCTTCTAGGTGTTGAGCTTTGAAAGTAACGTTCATTTCAACAGAATTGTCTTGAAAAATGTTTTCCAATGAATCCATATACAGTTCGTGTAAATGTACTAATAAATGACAGCGCCCTTTTTTGATTATGTCTTCCTCGATGATTACACTTATTTCATCAAAAGCCATTTGGTGATATTCTCGATGAAAATGCCAATCACTTTTACTGACTGGTTTTTTTAATGAAGATATTTTATTATACAAATCGACTCTACATTCTGTATGATAGTGTATTTTCAAACCAGAAAAATTTTGTAATCTATTTAATAATTCTGCAAACTCGTCTTGACCTTCGATTTTAGGTAATACAGTAGATTTAAATTGGTTAGTGTCTGCTTCGTGAAGTGGAAGCATTTTCGACCGTAATTTTTTATATTTTCTATTGCAGAATACACAAACTTTTGGATTATTATTAATACTGCCATCACTCTCAGTAACATTATGTACTATTGGAGTTGAATGATTATTTTTAGGAGTATCTGACACAAAAGTTTCAATATTTTCTTGAGAAGTTGTAGGTTGTGGTTCTATTGATTCGGAAGTAAAAGTTGTTTGAGAGATTGGCGATTCTGTAGTGGAAGATTGTAAATTAGATGGTTCGATGGTCAACCCAGGCATCGACGGCGTGGTTGGAGAGCGATTGTCTGTAGGTACACTGGCTGATGTTGCTTTTTCATTTTTTTCATTAGAACACACAGGTTTAGAAATTAAATACTTTTTCATAACTCCTGTGAATACTTTATAGCATTCCCGGTGATAACCACAGTCTGTATATTCATCGGGCAAAATAATGTCTTTATATTTTAGGTTATGTTTTTTTCTGACATTCAAAATATTTTTACATTTTTTGAAAGTTTCCTCTGAAGACAATACTATTTTGCCGCTTTCTTTACAAACAAAACAAATTAATTTTTTTTCCATGCTAACACTTTACTTAAAACTCAATTAAATTTATTTCACAAACTACACAAATAAATGATAAAACGTATACTGAACGTATAATAGTTCAACACATAATACAATGTAAACGACAGATGGTGCGCAGTAAAAGAACGCAATAGAGCAAACTCACCATCTCACTCAAACCCGCCTGAATATATAATGCCTCGCGCTCGCACCGACGGCGGACTCTCAAGGCCTCTGGCAAGATGTAAAAAACCATGAAAACTGTCCGGCTACTGGGGTAACTTCTTTTCATAGCCCCCCAAGAAACATATATAAAATTCAGCTTTTATACTACAATGTAAGTGTAATCACAATTTTTCAGAGTTTGGGGGTGTCCGGCAGGGGGTTGAAACTATACTAAGTGTCCGGAAATGGATGACGTCATTTTAAATATTATTCTGAAGAAAATGTAAAAAACCGAGCTTTATATCTTAATGTACTTAAGGTGCTGTTTTTTTACACCTTTGTTGCCTGTTACCTTTCAAAGTAACCACTACCTAAACTACATAGTCGCTCATCGTTCTTACCTCTGTTGGTGACGTGCGCAGATAAACTTGAGGGTTTTATGAAATGATGTGCGCCTAGCAGAAGCGGGCTCTTGCTCTAAAAGGACACTTGCACGAGTTCGAGAAAGATTTTATTGGGTCAATTGCCGACGGGATATAGAAGATTGGTGTAAGAAATGTGACTTCTGTAACGGCAGAAAAGGGCCCAAAACAAGAAGTAGAGGTAAAATGGCATAGTACCTTTCCGGAGAGCCTTTCGAACGCATTGCCATTGATATCCTCGGACCAGTTCCCTTAACAGAAAGGGGAAACAAATACTTGATTGTTGTTATGGACTATTTTTCGAAGTGGCCCGAAATAGTGCCTATTCCTAATCAGGAAGCGACGGCAGTAGCGGAAGCATTTATGACGAACGTCATTGCGAGACGCGGAGTCCCCCTGTAATTACATTCCGACCAAGGACGAAATTTTGAATCCGAATTATGGCAAGAATTAATGAAAGTGTTAGACATCAGGAAAACACGCACTACGCCTCTAGATTCACAGTCCGACGGAATGGTAAAAAGACACAACAGAACGATATGCCAGTATCTTTCAATGTTCGTCTCTGATAATCAAAAGGACTGGGACACTTTAATTTCTCTATTTCTGCTAGCCTACCAAAGTTCTGAACATGAAACGACCAGTTATACCCCATCCATGATGATCACCGGAAGAGAGATGAAACTTCCCCATGATCTTCTTTTTGGAAGGCAGCCTCCTGGTGAAGAAGAGATGCGTAATCCTCCCACGTACATACAGAACTTAAAAGAAAGATTACAGAAGTTATACGAATTCGCTCGTCAACGTTTAAAAATTAATAGCGATAAAGCAAAAGCTAGAATCGACATGCATGCCACAGGGACACATTTTGAGAGAGGCGATCCAGTGTGGTTGTACAATCCCAAGCGCCGAAAAGGACTCTGTCAGAAGATGCAACGGAACTGGGAAAGCCCCTACACCGTCCTCAAGAAAATCAATGACCTGATCTACCGCATTCAGTTGTCAACGAGAAGTAAATCCAAGGTAGTTCACATTGAGAAGTTAGCGCCATAACGTGGTTCAGATCCTCCCCGTTGGCTCCAACCAGATCCCAGTAATCAAGTTATTCGGGAGTAGCCTGCGGCTATCATAGAAAACGTACAGATAGAAAAAGAAGTGGAATGTTGCTCATCGCTCTACAGTGTGCTGAGGTCGTCATAAGTAAAAGTACAAGTAAAAGAAGACAGAATATTCCAGAAATATCCAGAAATGTCCAGAAATGTCATTACCCGTCAAGAACATTCTAGATGACATTTCGAGAAGGTTCAAGAAGGTCAATAAGCTATATAAGTCGACGACCTGAAGTCAGAGTTTTAGTTTTATGATAGACGTTATACGTGAATGTTATCAGTTGTAAAGGTATTGTCAAAGTTGAATTATAGTTATTGTAAAGTTCAGTTGAAATAAATTGTGATACCAAAAACCTGCGTAACACTATAATAAAGCAAAGAAAATCAAAAGAAAGGAGATATACTCTTCTATACCTGAAAAATTTAGTCGAAGTTAAATTTGAAAGAGGTTTGCATGATTTTTTTTATAAAACCGACTATCAGCAGCCATATATAAAATCGTCCAATATTTATAAACGGTTGAGGTAGGCACTTTTCCTGAAAAAAACAACTTCTTTACCACGTGATATTTAATCATCCAAAAAGGAACCAATTCTAAAATAATTAGTACCAAAGATGGCCGACAGTAGAAAGCAATTTTGGGTCAATTTACATGTGAACGATGGTTCTAAAGATCTTCTGGAAGAAGGAGTATAATTTCTATTTTTAAACTTAAATGTTTCAGTATAAATATTTGTTTCTTAGTTTTATTATATTTTTTTGTTATTACATTTACATGTTTTAAAACATATCCTCTTCGCGTGAAATTTATTAACTTAAAATTAAATTTATGTTTATTTTTTAATTATTAAAGAGATTGATAGATATGCATTGGTTTAAATACGTAAAAGTTACACAAATAGAAAAGCCTTTGGAAGGATTGTAAAAATTTTAGTTTATTACAAAGGAAAATAAATGTATAGTTTTATAAGGTTTTATTTTGTTTTTTTTTTCTGTAATTAATTAATTTAAAAAAATGGTAAAAACAATTAAGTGGCATTATAAAGCATGAACTGGGCACACAAGATGTCAAAATAGAAAAATAAATACAGCATAATGTTTTGAAAAGCCTGTAAAAATTTCAAATCAAACGAATGTTAAATATTGATAATGTCTCATTATAAAATTCAAACACGTTTTACTCACAACAGCTAAAACTCACATCTTTTTACCATTGGAGGGCAGATATATTGACCAATTGTCCAAAAAAGTTCAACCAACAACTTTTATAAAAATTTAATTTTTTTAAGAAAATTTTGAATTAAACAAAAATTATAGATAATTACTATAAGTATATTTGTAGGCCGGAATAAAGCTTAAGTTTAAAATTTGGTGTTTTTATTTGTATCCGTTCATGAGTTATCGAGGATACAGACACACAGACACACAGACACACAGACACACAGACACACAGACACACAGACACACAGACACACAGACACACAGACACACAGACACACAGACACACAGACACACAGACACACAGACACACAAACACGCATAGAAGTCATCGTGAAAAAGGATTTAGAGAACCTCAAAACGTAAAAATCCGTCGAAATCTCGAGGTCAAAAAAAATCATGATTCCTATACGTTCCTTATCTGTATACAGATAGGAAAGTAAAAATTAAGAAAATATCAAATATCACAAGTGGTGTGCTTCTAAAAATTTTAAATTTTTATCAATTTTGAACCACCAGTAACTTTGCTTAACCTTTTTGATTATAAGACCTCTAAAATAGAGGTCACGAATAAATTTATTATTAGTAATAATACCTACTAAATATCTGACACTGAAAGAGCCCTTCCTCAACCAAAAATTTTACATTTTCTTCCAATTTTTCCATTACGGTCCATTTTAGAGAAATCGTGTATTAAACAAAACTTATAGAGATCGATATCGCAAACAACTTTTAGTTCAACAATTTTCTAAAAAATCATAATTTTTTACCATTTTCTCACATTTATCGAATATTTTAGGAAAATTTTGTATAGAACAAAAATTATAGAGAATAATATAAGAAATAACTTATATTTATTGGTGAATTTCATTTTTTGCAGTATTCTCACTATCTAGAATGGATATGAAATATATTCGTTCAGTTGAAGGCAAAAGCATACTTTTTCGATTTGTAATCTGTGCGTAGATAAGCTAATGTCCATGTGGGTGTAGAACAAAATTAGTTTCAACAAGCTCTCCTGTAAAATTTTTTAACATGGACTTAATACTTTCTGACTCCAAGGTCCAGATATTTTTTTCAAAAAATAAAGAATATAAATTCATATCAATATTTTTCCAATTTTTTTATTATTTTCGTATTTTTTGGCGATTTGGAAGTTGAACAAAATTACCTTTTGACACAAACTCACTACTTAAAAATTAGGGAAATCATAAAATAATTTTATGAGTTTTATTACCAATTGCAACAAATCTACATAATAGGTTGTTGCCCGTATGAATAAAGATGAAAACTAGTTTGTTAATTTGTAATTATTGACAAGCTAAAATTTATAATACTTATAAAAATGTATAATCTTTATTAATTTATAGTTAATAATTATGTGTATAATAATATGTACAATAAATAATTTTTTTATACTTTATTTAATCCCATTTTATTTGTGTAACTATTTTATATAATTATGTTAGATATTTAATATGAACCTACAAAGATAATAGAAATAAAATAAAAACATAATTTAAGGATGTACAAGAAAATAGTATACAACATAACAAAATATACAGGGTGAGCCTTTGAAAATTTACAATGGCTATATTTTTTATTAAAGAAAGATATCAAAAAATAAAAGAACCAGGGTGAATCCAAATGAAATATTTTTCAAACTACCCCCACCACCCCCTTAAGACCAACTCATACTGACGTAAAAATCTTAAATTACAATACCCTACTTGTGATATCTCTTTGGAAAGCCTATTAAACATTATTTGCAGTATTCATTAAAAAAGTAGGGTGAACTCAAAAACTAACCTCAAATTCTAGAAAACTTTTATTTGAATATAAACAAATTAATATTAGTTTATTAAAGACAGAAGTAAAGACCATTTTCAAATTCTTGTCCAACGTTCTGGAAAATTTCTCTTGGAATATTTTGACACGCTTCTATTATCTTTTGGCGTAATTCATCCAAGATAACTGGTTGAGTTTTATACACTAAAGAGTAAGGTCTAGAGACCTTGGGCTAATCAATTGAACCCCGTCTACCAATACAATGTCGTTAATAAAATCTATCCAGCCACTGTCTCGGAGCAAGAGCATAATG